AGTGATTCCGGCCATGAAAGCCTTTGACAATATATTAAGAAGTATTTGATTGTTTGTTGAAGACTTAAGCAATAATAAAGGACTTTGTTAAACCTTTCAAGCTTCTAAAAACTTTTGTATAGGAAAATCTTTAGGGCCTCTCAGTCGAGGCACCCCGGCTTCCCGCTGGGCACAAAGAGCACATCCTGTTCAAAAGCCAACTGCTATAGGCCCAGCGCGTGACAGCACACAATTGCATCACTATTTGACAATAAACTGCAGCAAGAATTATTCTAGCCAGAGTATGGAAAGTTCCGATTTTTTTTTTTTTGGGGGGGGGGTAAATATTCAGAATTCAATTCCAAATCGAACCACCAGCACCCCCTACATCCGAAATGAGTTTTGAACCATTTTTTAAATCAACCAAGCCTAGTAACTAGTTATTTTAACGTATGACTTCCTACGGTGCTGAACAATTACAGACCGATTTCCAACCTCCCTTTTTTGGGTAAGGTGCTGGAGCGGGTGGTCGCCCTCCAGCTCCAGGGCTTCCTGGATGACATCAATTACCTAGATCAGGCACAGTCTGGTTTCAGGCCTGGTCACGGCACCGAGACAGCCTTGGTCGCCTTGGTGGATGACCTCCGTAGAGAACTGGACAGGGGGAGTGTGACCCTGTTGGTTCTCTTGGACATCTCAGCGGCTTTCGATACCATCAATCATGGTATCCTTCTGGGACGCCTCTCTGGGATGGGTCTCGGGGGCACGGTTCTGTCGTGGCTCCGGTCCTTCCTGGAGGGACAACCCAGATGGTGAAGCTGGGAGACGCCTGCTCGGACCCCTGGCCTTTGACCTGTGGGGTCCCGCAAGGCTCTATTCTGTCTCCCATGCTTTTCAACATCTACATGAAACCGCTGGGAGAGGTCATCCGGAGTTTTGGAGTTGGGTGCCATCTCTACGCAGATGACACACAACTCTACTACTCTTTTCCACCTAATTCCAAGGAGGCCTCTCGGGTGCTGGACAAGTGCCTGGCCGCTGTGTCTATCTGGATGAGGACGAACAAGCTGAAGATCAATCCCGACAAGACAGAGGTCCCTGGTCGATCGCAAACCAGACCGGGGTATAGGGTGGCAACCTGTGTTGGACGGGGTTACACTCCCCCTGAAGTCACAGGTCCGCAGCTTGGGAGTCCTCCTGGACTCATCGCTCACGCTTGAGGCTCAGGCGTCGGCGGTGGCCGGGAGGGCTTTTGCACAACTGAGACTTGTGCGCCAGCTGCGCCCGTACCTCGCGAAGGCTGATCTGGCCGGGGTGGTCCATGCCTTAGTCACCTCTAGACTGGATTACTGCAATGCGCTCTACGTGGGGCTGTCCTTGAAAACGGCTCGGAAATTCCAATTGGTCCAATGGACACCTGCCAGGATGCTAACGGGGGCCCCTTACAGAGAGAGGTCAACCCCCCTGTTTAGGGAGCTCCACTGGCTGCCGTTTATTTTCCGAGCCCAATTTAAGGTGCAGGTGCTTACCTACAAAGCCCTAAACGGTTTGGGACCAGCCTACCTGCGAGACTGCATCACAGTCTACGAACCCACACGCTCACTCCGGTCATCAGGAGAGGCCCTGCTTGTGATCCCGCCCGCGTCGCAGGCGCGTTTGGTGGGGACGTGGGACAAGGCCTTCTCTGTGGTGGCCCCCCGCCTCTGGAATGCCCTCCCGAAAGATCTCAGACAGGCCCCTACCTTGGCGGTTTTCAGAAAGAACCTGAAAACCTGGCTGTTCCAACGTGCCTTCTCAGATTAGGAACCCCACTACCAAAGCCCAGAAGCACTTTAGTAGAGTCAAGATCACCCTCACCGCACACTGCACTTATATTTTAATCCCATATCCCTCCGACACTTCAGCACTTTTTAATCCTGTACCCTACTCTGGCCGGCTCAGTTTTTAATAATGTCCTGTTGTACTGCTACTGTTATTGTTTTCTGCTTTAACTGTTTTATTTGCTATGTATTGTATTGTTGTATTGTGTTGGGCTCCGGCCTGTTGTAAGCCGCATCGAATCCCTTGGGAGATGCTAGCGGGGTACAAATAAAGTTATAATAATAATAATAATAATAATAATAATAATAATAATAATAATAATAATTGATTGATGCGGATTCTTTTTTCCTTCGTGAACCTACTTAATTTGATTTATTTCATTGGTAGCCTTTGTTTTCTCACCTACATCGGTCAGGAAAGGAACGAAACAGGCAAGCGCAGCACCAGGCCTGCCATTTAGCAAAACAGCATACAAATGGACACATTAAACCAGCAATAAAGTTTACAGCACACAACAAGCAAAGGAAAAACAAGCCAAAGCGTTGCAAGGCTGGGCTGGCCCATTCCCCATTAAATCAGATGTTGCCCATAAGACCTCGTCACATTTGTGTATGCCGAAAATGAAAATGGTTGCCAGCTTTTCACGCTGCCAATGCAAAGAGAGAAGGCAGAGCTGGCCTAGGAGTGACATATTGGTCCCTATCAGGACAAGGTGGCATATTATTTTGAACGCCTTCTTCATGTCGGGCATCTCGTTCTGAAAGTCTGCCAAATGTTGTTGTTCGTGGGGTTTCGTGAAAGCCAAATCCTCACCACACCTGGAATATTGTGTCCAATTCTGGGCACCACAATTCAAGAGAAATATTGACAAGCTGGAATGTGTCCAGAGGAGGGCGACTAAAATGATCAAGGGTCTGGAGAACAAGCCCTATGAGGAGCGGCTTAAGGAGCTGGGCGTTTAGCCTGAAGAAGAGAAGGATGAGAGGGGATATGATAGCCATGTATAAATATGTGAGAGGAAGCCACAGGGAGGAGGGAGCAAGCTTGTTTTCTGCTTCCTTGGAGACTAGGACGCGAAACAATGGCTTCAAACTGCAAGAGAGGAGATTCCATCTGACCATGAGGAAGAACTTCCTGACTGTGAGAGCCGTTCAGCAGTGGAACTCACTGCCCCAGAGTGTGGTGGAGGCTCCTTCTTTGGAAGCTTTTAAACAGAGGCTGGATGGCCATCTGTCAGGGGTGCTTTGAATGCAATATTCCTGCTTCTTGGCAGAATGGGGTTGGACTGGATGGCCCATGAGGTCTCTTCCAACTCTTTGATTCTATGATTCTATGACATAAATACTGTAAATAAATAAATAAATTCTGTGACTCGTGGGGTTCATATATGAGTAGACATATATGATTAGGAAGCTACAAATCTGCGCTAATTTCCGAGCTGAAGAGGATCTGATCACAAAGATTGCTTCGCTTTCATCAATGTTGTTTTTCCAATTCTTCCTGGTGTGCGTTTTGATGTAATTGTCTCTCGCCGGTCTATTGCCATTGCGGCATGACCACAAAGTGCCGCCTTTGAAATAATCTCCCCGCCTCGGGAGATAGCTGGCCAGAATTTGAATACAAAAGAGGTTGGAGAAGAGATGAAATATTCTTTTCTTTCGTTGCCTCCCTCCTTTGAGTTTTAATAATATTCCATTCGGGGCTTTTCAAAAGACAACGGCGAGGCGGGAAGGAATGGCGCGGCCTGCGAAAAGGACCAAATTGGGTCCATATGCCATTCCCGGAGGGGAAGCGGCTGGTGTCACTCTTCGTTACGGCAGGACGAGGGATGGATGCGGAGAGGTTTCCATGGCAACGGGAGGGATGGGGATGCTCTCCGACGTAGGCATGGCGGCGAAAGGGAAATCAGGTCAGGAGATAACTTTGTAGGTGACAGAGCCAGGAGTTGCCTCCGAGGAGGCTGGGAAAGGCAAAACCTTCACCTCTCCAATGGATCACTATAGTAACCACCTGCATCCCCAAACTGCATTCAATTGAGTCATGATGCCATTGCGAGTGCAGCATTTTCCCGAATGAAGCAGAGAGTGTTTGAGGACCGAGACATCCGTAGGGAGACCAAGGTGCTTGTCTATAAAGCTATTGTCCTCCCAACCCTGCGAAATGTGGACTGTCTACAGACGTCACATGCAACTCCTGGAACGATTCCATCAGCGCTGCCTCCGGAAAATCCTGCAAATCTCTTGGGAAGACAAGCGGACAAACGTCAGCGTGCTGGAAGAAGCAAAGACCACCAGCATTGAAGCGATGGTCCTCTGCCATCAACTCCGCTGGACCGGCCACATTGTCCGGATGCCTGACCACTGTCTCCCAAAGCAGTTGCTCTACTCCGAACTCAAGAACGCATTCATAGAATCATAGAATCCTAGAGTTGGAAGAGACCTCATGGGCCATCCAGTCTAACCCCATTCTGCCAAAAAGCAGGAATATTGCATTCAA